TTGGATCAATCATGAGCAAGCAAATAAATGTATATAGAGAAGAAATGCCATTTCCCTGTCTATCACTATGACAGGCTGCCCTGATGCTGCCAGACAGGCTTCTGAGGGTGCAAGGAGACACGTGAGCACTGCACAAATCAACGCAGGCTTTTAGGAGTGGGCATTTGCATCCAAAACCTACTGGCTATATTTCTAAGATTCTATCCTGTGGGGAAATATCAGAGCTATTGACGAAGATGATTGTAATCCCAGCATCATTTTTAATCAAGACAAACTAGCCATAACCTAAATATGCCTAATAGATTACAAGGAGGTACAAAGGCTGGAACACGGCACTTCTAAAATAGATGCATGTGGTCCAGCTTGATGGCTCAATGACTAAATCCTCATCTTGCAAGTGCCAGGATTACATATGGGTGATAGTTCGTGTCCCGGCAGCCCTGCTTCCCGTCCAGCTCCCTGTCTGTGGCCTAGGAAAGTAGCGGAGGATGGCTCAAGAAGCCTTGGGAACCTATAACCTTGTAGGAGACCCAGAAGAAGCTCCAGGCTCCTGGCTTTGAATCAGCTCAGCTCTGCCTTTTGTAGCCATTTGGGGAGTGAACCAGCAGACACAAGATGTTCTCTGTCTCTCCTTCTCTGTAGAAATCTGATCTGCCTTTCCAATAAAAATAAATAAATCCTTAACAATAAAATAGGAGATGTGTGAAACACAGAGGAGGGATGTACTTTCCCAGCTCTAGGCAGGAGCAAGGGGCAGTATGCCAGGGCGCCTCTCAACCCCAAGCAAGAAATGATGGCCTACACAGCTCACTGTTCCTCTCCATGCACAGCAGGATCGAGCAGCTCTCCTGAACCTCAGAATGACGCTTCACAATTGCTTGCCTACGTTACAGACCAGTAAACTGAGGCTTATTAAGACAAAGTGGCTTAACCAATCAACATTACCTAACACTTTCTGGAAGCCTACATATTAGCCTAGTGTCTCTCAAGGGCTATGAAAACACTGAATATGTAAAATCCAGTGCCAAATCCTAAGACTTTTTATTAAACATGCACTGAATGTATCTATGTTTCCCACAACATCATCATGATTCGTGGTGCCCATTTCACAGACGTGCAAACTGAGGCTTCAAAGTGACTTGCTCCAAGAATGCTTGGCTTCCAGGGCAAAGATCATATTCTTCCTGTTACTCCTACTGATTGTCTAATCCACACAAAGCTGACAAACCGGTCCAGAGGGGAGGCTGAGAAGGACCAGGCAAGGAAAGGAATGAGCACAAACCCCACCAGGTGTGGGTGTGCAAGCCCTCCTGTCAGCACCAGAAAGGGAAACACAAACCCTGCCTTCCATCTCCCCTGCTCTCCATCAAGCTTCCGCTCTGCCTCCCCCGGGGTGGCCTCCTCCCCAGGGACAGGCCTGACCCGGCCTGCTCCAGGCCAGCCGAGCCATCTGCACGCTCCCGCCTCTGCTCCTAAGCATCTCCTTCCTAGGTGCCATGTCGCCTGGAAGCTTCCCGCGGAAGGCTTTCAGGGTGGGAACTCTAGAGAGAGAGAGACAGAGACAGATAGACACACACACACACACACACACACACACACACACACACACACACCACCACCACCATCACCACCACCACGGCCCCCACCACTCCCCGGAAATCTCGAACTCCACATGCTCTCCGTCTGACCTACCTGCACTGGGCTGCTTGGGTTTCCGAGCCTGGCTCTGGACCAGGCTGGCTGGGAAGGGGAAGAAGCAGGTGGAGAGCCAGAGAGGCCCCAGCACACATGGAGGCCCAACAACAGCAGCCAGAGGAAAGGGACAGGGAACACCAGCCGACCCTCCCAGACCTTCAGGAACACTAACAGATAAACCAACAACTTGAAAATCACTCAGGAAACCCTGTCTGGCTTTGCCCAACAGTGGAGTCCACCCTGCAACATTAGCAGCCTGCAGGAGACAAATGCCTTTGCCTACACACCTTTCACCTGGGAACCTCCGGTGGGCAGCGGCCATGATTACCTGTCCACATTGCTCACTGCCCCAGCCCAGGAGAGGAAAGGAGTGTCTCGGGGCAGGGGAAGCCTGTGGAGAGTGGAACCCAACTAGGACCCCCCTCTACACAAGGCCAATACAAAGGCACAAGCCCGGCCTGCAGCCCTCAGACCCTGGGACCTGGCTGTGCCCACCAAACCCTGGCTGCACCCCAGCCTCCTAACCAGCTAAGTGCCAGCATCCCAGGCCGACTCCTTTCCCAGGAAGCAGAAAGATCCCAGCATAGAACCACCAGGTTTGCAATCTCCAGATGAGAGAATTTCAACACAAAAAATAACCTTCCCTGCATGGCTGTGCAGGGAGCACAGCCAGCATGCCTGAAAACCAGAGTCAGTCCAAGTTGGATCTGAGTGGCCACCCCTGGATGCCCTAGGCACCCCTCTACCTGACAGGACCATGGAGACCCACTTGCCACCCGAGAAGCACCCCCCACCCACGTCTTGTTCCTATCCACTGACAACTGTGCCTCTGCACTTACACCCGCTCCAGCCAGAGGCACCGCAGCTACGGGAGGATGGGGGGAGAGGGGTTCTTCCAGCTAAGCCAAAGGCAGCTCCCCTCCCCGCCCTTGGCACAACCACCCACCTCAGAGTAGGCAGAGGGAGACACCTCTGCACTCAGCCAGGTTCAACCGTGAGCTTTGGGGGAGGGGACAGTCTCACGGCAAATTCTACTCATCAGCTCCAAATGGATAGGATGTCTCCGGGGACTGCCCCAGACGAACACCTGCCCACCCATCCTGGCAGCAGCGGCAAGTGTATTCCTAAGTCAAGCAACAAATCAGGAGACCCTAGTTCTGGCTCAGCCTGTTTCAGCACCACGGCTGGGTGCCGGCATTTCAAACCCAGCCTCACTGTCTGTCCGTGGGAAATCTGGGCTCCCTTCCTGTGCCAGAGAACCCACCAAAACAGATTTTGTTTACAGAAAATTAATAAGACAATCCCACACCACTGCCAGTGACATTCTGCTCCAGCCGCTACCATTCACCACCATTCCCAGAACCGGGCTTATAGTTTCACTCCCAACCCCCATTCTGCATCCCCCACCTTCCCCACCCCAACCCCCACCGCCGGCACACAACAAGCAAGCCTGGCTTGAGGCCAAGCTGGACAGGACCCGCACGAAGTCCTCCGGCCAGAGTCACCAGCCCAGCACTCGGCGGCTTCTCTCACGGCGGCTTCCCGCTAGAGCGAGGTAAACATGACATGCATGCCACCCGCTCCTGGGAGGGCAGACACACTCTGCAGCCCTGCCTCTCCTGCTCCCCGGACAACCACCACATGCACACAAGATGGGGTACGTACACAAGCCCCCGCATGCGAGTGCAGAGGGTCCTGACCCCTGCCAGGGAAAGCGCAGAGAAGGGCATGTTCCTGGGGGAGACAGCCGGAGGTGGGGGCCGGGCAGAGGGAGGAAGGCAGCAAACCAGGTGGCCTGCCGCCCAGACAATAACAAAGATGGGAAGCGAGATTTTCAAAGACGCGGTGGCTGCGCCCAGCACTGAGCTCTGGCCTGGCTGCATCCTTCTGCCAGGGCACGCCTGCTCCCCTGGGGCACCACGGCCATCAGAGAAAAGCCGAGGGTCCTGCCTCAGGCTGGGCTTGGCAGCGGGGGCAGGAAGCCAGTGGCAGGCAGCGATGTGCATGCACGCTGGAGAGGACAGCTCTGGGCTGATAGAAATGAAAGGTCTAGCGATTCCACCGGGATGCAGGAGGGGTAGTCTCCGGGGAGATGCTAGGGGGTGGGACAGCCCCTCAACCCTGGGCAGGAGTTGGGCTGGAACTTGTGCTCCTGTCTGCTGGAACCGAGGAGGGGGGAGGGAAGAAACGTTTTCATTCCACCTATGCCTCCCCCACACAGAGTGCCAACTGGCCAATCGTACACACGGACACGGCCCTATCAACGCAGATGGCAGTGGCCTCGGACGTTGGGGCTGAATGCTGAAAAGGCTCTTTGGAGCCTGCCAGTTCTTTCACCTCCACAAGCTGGAGGTGGGACACGTTCTAACTGGCATGGGAATCCAGCCCTAAAGTGCAAAGGTGCCTGTGGCTGGCACCATTCAGGGAGGAGGACCTGGGCCCCCAGAGGCTGTGTGTGCCCAGTGCCCCCGCAGGGAAATGATGGCTTGCCCTTGCGAGCTGAAGCCTGCTCAGCGGCTGGCAGTCACTGGCTGGAGCCACCTCCCCCAGGAATTTCCACACCTGCTCGCCCAGGAGAGGAGGAGGGAGCAGGAAAGAGCCCTGGGAGTGGCAAACTGAGGAAGCAAAGCAGCTACCTAGGAGGAGAGGACCAAACCGGGCTTCCCCAGTTCCCTGACCTCAGCGCCTGGCCACTGGCCGCCCTGCTCGCCCCAGCCCCCAGCAGAGCAGGCGCCCTACTTAGAACAGCTGTGCCCCCTCAGCGGCCCTGCCCTCCGCTCCTCCCCTCCAGATGTTCACCCTTTCCCTCACTACCAGCTGCCCGGTCTCGGTCGAACCCAGCCCAAAATGCCTTTTGTATCAGATATTTGGGGGGTGGGGGGAGCTCCCGAGGCAGGGGGATGGGTCCTGGGGGGTGGGGAAAGGAGGCGCCACTTCCGTCCCCGGCCCTGGGCACCACACGGCCCGAGGAAACAATGCCCACCTCGGCCACGCGAGGCAGGACTTCTCCGAGAGGGCAGTTCCCGCCTGGCCTCGCCCCGGGCCGAGGACAAGCCTCGCTCGCCTCGCCCTGGGTTGGGGGGAAACGGGAAGGGTCCTCCTGTCGTGTTCTGCCACTCCGAGGTGGCCCCACAAGTTCACGGAGGGAAGGCGGCGTGGGGTCCCCTCCCCCTTGTCGCGCACCCCGGCGCCCGGGCTCTTGCTTTGTCCCCGCGCCCTCGGGGGCGCATCCCGGGGCCGGGCGGCGGGGGGCCGGGCCGGGGCGGCGGCGGTGGCGGCGGCGGTGGCGGCGGCGGCGGGCTCACCTCTCATTGTCCGCGGCGGAGGCGGCGGCGGTGGCGGGTGCGCTCCGGAACCCCGGCAGGATGTGGCGGAAGCTGTGGTTGCGGTCCAGCTTGGGCTGGCTCTTGGTGCGCTTGATGGAGCCCTTGAGGCGGCGGCTGAGGAAGCCCTGCGCGCGGGGCGACAAGAGGGGGAAGGGGAGGCGGGGTTAGCGTGGCGGCGGCGGTGGCGGGCCGGGACCCGCACCCTCACTGGGCGGCCGCGCGGCCGACGGCGGGCCGGGCTCCGGGCTCGGCCCCAGCAGCTCGCCGCCCGCCCGCCGACCGAGCGCCGACGGCCCGGCCCGCGCAGCGCCGCCCGGCCCGGCCCACCCCGCGCCGCCCTCCGGCCCAGCCCGCCACGTCGCCCCCGCCCCCTTAAGCCGCTGTTGCCATGGTGACGGCGAGCCGAGCCGCGCCGACCACGGCCGAAGCCACCCGAGCCCCTCGGACGCTAGGGTGGTGGGCTGAGGGGGCAGGGTGGAGGGGGCGGCCGGGGGCAAGGGGGCGGGGTCGGGGAAGGTGGGGGTCCCTCTTTCAACCAGGGGCCCCAACCTCCCGGCGGTCTCTCGGTCACACCTACCAGAGCAAGGTCACGCCCCCCACCCACCTGGAGGAGTCCACGCCCCCCACCCGGTCGGGGACTGGCCGAGCGCGTTTTTTCACCCGGGAGGCCGATGCTCTCAGGCCCCAGGGCTACAGCTGAGGGAAACTAAGGCTCAGTGAGCAGGCGCGCGTGGTCTTCTCGGAGTCGCCCGCAGTCGTTTGGCAGCACACCGGCCACCCGGACCCCTCGCCAGGCGCCTTTCCTCCTGCAGGCGGCAGTCGTAGGCTGCCAAGGTGGAGCCCTCGGCTCGGAACAGGGCTACCTCAGCTGGGACAACCACCTTGAGCAAGACAGGATCCCTAGAGCCCAGCTCAAGGGGAGGCCGGGGAGTGGGATGGGGCGCTGTATCCTCTCTGAGGGTCTCAGGATGCATCAGTCCATCCACCTGCCCGCCGGGCTGCGGTGCACTGAACACGGAGCCCCCAGCCCCGCCCCCAAGCCGCTGGTCTAGGGGGGACAGGAGACAGGTGGGCGCCTCAAGGGGCCACAGTCTGGATCTTGTTGGGCTTGGGCCCTACAGGCAGCTTGAGGGTAAAGAAAATTTCGCGGGGCGGTGGGTGGGGGGTGGTAGGGAGAGGAGAAGAAGAGGGGGAACCCCCAGGGGGAGCTGGTCTAGCAGGAGTCCAAGGGTCTCACCCATGCCAGGCTCAAATCCGGAAGTGGGTGGGAAATTGAAGTCAACATTGCATAGGATCTGGACACGACATTTCACCCACCACACAAGACGTCCCTGGGGAAAGGTGGACATCTGCCGCTAACGTCCGAGCACCCTAGAATATCAGAGCGCGATGATCTCAAGTCACCCATGCATACGGAGGACGACAGGAAGTGAGGAACCTTGCTTGGAGATGTGAAGTGACTTGTCGGGGGATACCCCAGCTTCTGGGCCCAATGCCAGAGCTGCTGCCCATTCTCCTCCCACTTTCCCCCTCCGATCTCTCCTGGGGTATGGCCACCTGGCAGCCTCTGACATACCCTCCGAAGCCCGCAGAGAGGCCGCTCAGGCAGTGGGGTCCCGATGCCTCCCACCTCTGTAGCCCACTACTGCCCACCAGTCGCAGTTGGTCAAGGGTCTCTGACATTTGGTCTCACAAGGACCTGAAGAACCTAGGTGTTTTCTGCCTTTTGTGATTCTGCCTTAATGGCTTGGCGGGGGGCTGTGTGAACTCCAGGCCTGACAGTCTACCTGCCACCCCGCAGGACACCTGGCAGGTCATGTAGGCAGACCACTCCTCAGGACGGAGGTACCTGGTATTTGATAAGATTCACAGCCCAATAGCTCATCGATTTGTACTTTTTGAAAGTTGCTTGTTTCAAACCCACCAATAGAAGCCTGCTAAATCATGACTGTATAATTGATAGCCTGAAATGTATAAGAACTGGGGGGCTTGGGCTCTCTCCCTCTTCTGGCTTGCGCTTCTTTTTGTCCTCCCTGCGGATCCTAGCAGCCTCGGCTGCGGCTGCCCCTCCCCCAGCCCATGCTGGGAGAGGTGGCTGGGAGACCCAGGCTAACCTGAATCAACCACCTTTATGCCTTAGCACCGACTTCAGACTTGATGATTATCTGGGGATTTCAAAATCCGCCACAACAGACCCTCCTACAGAGCGGTGACCCACAGAGAAGCCACTGTGGCTGACCAAAGCAGCGCTTGGCATGGTAGGAGGGCCTCCTCCCAGACCAGGCCCAGGACCAGGTGTGGGAGAAAAGGGGCTGCACCTGGCTCACCTGCCAGGTGCATCTCCCACAGGCGTTACTGGCGAGCAAGTTCTCCCACTGGGCTTGTACTTGGTCTTGGTTGATTATATTCAACACTGATGGAAACTGCCGTTTTTATACCCCGTGTGGTACAAAGATCCAGGAATATGTCTCATTCTGTAGCATTTATTAAACCTGCTGAATGAAACCAAGAAAGTTCTTTCTGCTCTAGGCAGCTGAATGGCATTTCCTCTTTCCTGCTCAGCCCTAGGGCTGCAGCAGACCCTCCAGGAAGCCTACCCTGAAGGTACCTCCAGCAAGGCAGGTTAACCAAGACTTTGGGGACAACACTCTTCATGACATTCACTACTTCAGCACCCCAGTAAATGCTAAAGACAGCCATGAACACTGTGCAGCAAGCAGAAGTTGGGGGGCTCAGATCATAGCAAGGGATTCCTGTTGAGCCCGCAAGCTATACTTCCATTCCCTTGAGGGACCCAGCCAAGCGTCCCTGCAGATGACAGGCTTAGCAAAATGTCACTATTGCAGAAAGCCACAGCTGGGTGAAGGGGACACAGACCATGAGGTAGTGTTTCGGAGGGTGACGGAGCCCTAGTGAGTGGGAAGGACTTCCCAAAGCTCATCTGGGCCCTTTGGAGCCCAGCCCCGCAGGCCTGCTTCCTCTCTCCCAGGGGGGCAGAGAGCCAGGACCCTCAGGTCCCTTCCCTGCTAGGCCCTGGGGCCTGGCTCTCTCTCCCAGAGGTAGCTCTGCCCCAACTCAGGCAGCAGGATGCACTGGTCCTGAGGTCAGGGAGTCTTGTTCTAGATCCAAGCACACCTAAGTGGGGGCAAATAAGGTGCTTCCTCCCAGGACCCAGGACAACAGAGCTCTAGGTGGCCACTTCCTGCGGCTGTGCTGGGCCTGCTGAGGGCTGGAGGTAGGCCTGCAGGCTTCCTAACCGGCTGCAGGGCCAGGTGAGGCCCCTCACCTCTCTGGGAAATCGGGAGAAGGGGGAGCTGCTTCCATGATCATCAGCTGCAGAGAAAGACTGCTCCAGGCTCAGAGCGTAGCTTCAAGTGTTCAACGAAAGCCAAATGTTATTCTCACAGGGAATCCCCACACCAGGTTGTTGAAAACACTGCATGTTCAATAACATACTGGGTCCAAGGAGTCACACCTGATCTCTACAACCACTCTTGCAGCACTGACTCCCAAACCACAACTCCCCCACCCCCTCCCAGGACCTGCCTTTATCCCAGCTTCTCTAGGCACCCACCCTGCAGCAGCTAAACTCTCTCACTTTGGTTTAGATCTTAACTGAGATAAGCCTTGAGCAAATGATTAGATCTCTTTAGGCTTTAGTGTCCCCATCTGTAAGCTGGGCTAATGAAGATACCTACTCTGAGATTGTGGGAAGGACGGGATAAGGCATTGCCCATAAAGCAGTCACTGGTAGGCAGCTGGCAGTAGCTGCCAGCTTCATCTTCATCCCCACTGATGCGGTACAGCTGGATTTTTCAACCCCAAGGGTTGTGCAGCTGCCATGGGGTGAGGGGAGTAGCGTGGGCTCTCCCAGGAGCCTGGAGGTCTCCTAGCAGTAAACACAAGGCCATGAATGAACAGGCTCGCAAAATGATCACTGAGCCGCTGAATGACATCAGCTTGATAGTTTTGAAGTCTTTGAAGCCAGTGCTTTTTCTAAAGCAACCTCCCAGAGTCTCTCCAAGTACAAAGTGCACAGGGCTGCTCAGGTGGGGGCCTCTGCTTCCATTCACTGGAGCGGGGCCTGATGTCGGAGGCTCAGCAAGCAGCCTGCACAGTCCATGGGGACCAAGCTTGCTCCCTCCCCAGATGGGGCCCTCTGCCTCCATTAGCACAGCCTGTGTTCTTAAGTACTATTTGGGCAGCTGGGCCACTGTGCTGAGGTCAACTAGGGCCCCAGGGCTTTTGCACAAAGTCACTGCCTGGTGCCACCAGCGCCAGCTTATCTCCTGCTGGTTGCCCATTTAGCCACACTGCCAGGTGCTTCACAGGTCCTCTGAGCTTTTACCCAAAGCACAGGGCCAGTCCCAAGGCAGCATTGTGGCCAGCCACCCTTCCCACCCCCGCCCTGATAACTGGCCCTACACCTGACTCCTTCTCCAGGAGGCTCTCTGAGCCATGTCACAGAAGGCCATTCAGAATTCCAGACACATGGTTTCTGCAGTCACCCATTTCAATCAACTCCATGCGATGATGATGATGATAAATGACCAGTTATCAAGCGCCTGTTCTGCCAAGTCTCAGGTGCTTGGTAACTCACTGAGCACTCCCGCCCCAGGAGGGGAGGCCTGTGGGCCCTTCCAGGGCCTCTCATCAGGAGTCCTTGGGAGGACATGGGCTTCTTCAGAATTCACAGTGGTTTGGGTTTTCAGGTAGAGCAATGGGAGATTCAGAAAAGTGAAGCCATTTGCTTCACCTGCTGAGGGCGGCAGGACTGCTTCCCGGGATGCCTGGGGCTCCACACCCAGCGCTGGGCACTGTGGTGAGCCCAGAGGGGAGTGCAGAACGGGAGAGAACCAGGCTGATCCCTGGGGGCTCACAGGCTCAGGGAGGGAGGACTGGCCCAGCCTCTTCACTCACCCAGGCCCAGGAGACAGCACCACCCTGACACACAGTAAGCACTCGGTCAAGGTTGAGCTCCTGCTCCCAGCCCCAGCTGCCCCCACCCTTCATGCCTGCCTGTATCACCTCCTCTTGCAGCGAACCAGCCCTGAGTCACTGCAGGTGAGGTATCTGCCCACTCTGGGATTTTAGACAATGTTCACAAGGCAGACTCTTGTGGGCC